TTTGACTTTTTATTACCCTTGAGGCAAGAAAAGGCCAAGCAGTCATTAGAAAATAACTGAGTGAGCTAGCCCAAACCAAGGGGAATCTGTGGCATTGCAGGGAAATGCAAAGGCTCTTGTTGAGTTGTGGGAAAAGAGACTCGAGACCCAGTTGACTTTTCCCTTTTTATTTTCTTTCTAGTAATTGCATGCGGAGAAACCACGGCAGCCTTTTTTATAGCCGGCTGCTCGCGGCTCGTGGCCAATGACGGCTCTTCAAATCTCCCGCCACCACAGACCAACCTATCATAGGTAAGTATGCAAATATATAACACCCCTCCCCATGTGGTCCAAGCTAACCAATCTGGGCCTCACCTATCTTACGTAGTCACATAAGTAGGTGGGGCTGTTATGGTTCCGACTGGACCTGTGCAATTCAATCATGAGTTCGCCTCTGGACTGTTCGTTCAGGGTTGCTATTTTTCTCGTTCTTTTCCGTGGACCCTCCTGGAAGGTAGAGTCAGCCATGCCATTCCCGCCAGGCCTTTCCTGGCTGGTTGAGTCGGCGCGGCCGCTCCCACCAGGAGTGGCTTCCTGATGGTTCTTCAAAGTCTGCTCCAGCATCCCCAAGTTGTTTTCTTCTTCTACAGTTTCAGGTATGTGTTTGCGATTTCTGATTGGGACTAATGTTAGTATTGGTTGTTGTGTTGTTGTTAGGGTTTGTTTTGTCACTTCTTTTACTTGTGCAGGGTCTCCCCCTCCCCTTTTGTTTGTGTTTGAGGGGTCTTCCCCCTCTCTGGTTTGGCTATTTTTGTTTAATGTTTGTGGCAATTCCTTTATTTGTGTAGGTTCTCCCCCCTCCGCATCCTGATCGTTAGTGTTTCTCAGTGTGGTCCTCGATCTGATTTGGTCTATGTGTCTCCTCCAGCTTTTTCCATCCTCTGTGTCTACCCTGTATGACCGGGGTCCTGTTATTTGGGTATCCACAAAGGTTCCCCCGTGAGGTTTTTGCATAGACTAGGCCCTATGTTTTGAATGTGCGGCACTTACTGGAGGAGTCTGCTGGCTTTTCTGGGCTATATGTGGGGTGTAGCCTGTCTAGGTTTGATCTTAGTTTCCTTCCCATTAATAATTCTGCTGGGCTTTTATTTGTTGTGGTGTTTGGTGTAATGTGTTGTATACTTAGTAGTTTATCAATTTTTTTCTGTATATCCCCCAGTCCCAATTTATGTAGTGCTTCCTTAGTGTAACGGACCATGTGTTCCGCCCGTCCGTTCGTAGCTGGATGTCCCGGGGCTGTTAGTGCATGCCTTATTCTTTGTTCTGCCAGGAACCTTTTGAATGTTATTGCCGTGAATTGTGGTCCGTTGTCGGATACAACTAAATCCAGCAATCCATGTGTCGTAAAAAGTTTCCTTAGTTGTCTAATAGCAGCTTCTGTTGTGGTTGAGTGCATGATGCTTACCTCTAGCCAATTTGAGTAAGCGTCTACCACTATTAAGAATGTGTGTCCTTTAGTTGGTCCTGCGAAATCAATGTGTATTCTAGGCCATGGTCCCCTAGGTGTTTCCCATTCGTGTGCAGAAGGGGGTGTAGGTCTAGATTCCTGGCAAGTTGCTACCCATTCCCCTATGTCTTTATCCATCCCTGGCCACTATACATGACTCCTAGCCAGGGACTTCATTCTGACAATACCCAGGTGACCCTCATGCAATAATTCAAGTATTCATTTCCTTAATATGTTCGGTATGACCACCCTATCCCCCCATAGTATACATCCCTTTAAGATTGATAGTTCCGTTTGTCTATTCCGAAATGGTTTAACAGGTTTAACACTTGCAGTCTCTGGCCACCCTTTACCTACCCAATTTAAAATCCGTGCCAGGTTTCTGTCTCTTGTGGTTTCCATAGCAATGTCTGTTGCTGTTATGGGTAGGTTTGCCAATGTCTCGATTTGAAAGGTTAATGTGGTTGGTGCAGGATCATCATCTAAATCAGGTAGGGGGGAATGGCTCAGGGCGTCAGCGTGTGTTATGTTCTTTCCTGGTCGGTAGATCAAGTTGTAGTTATAGGCAGCTAGGAATTCAGACCACCTCGTCATCCACGGTGACAATATGTTAGGTGTAGCTTTGTTTCCTGTGAGGATTCCTGGGAGAGGTTTATGGTCTGTGACAAATGAAAAAGATCTGCCATAGATATATTTGTGGAAACGTTTTATTCCTGTTATTGGGGCCAATGCCTCCCTATCTAGTTGGCTGTAATTCCGCTCCGGTTTAGATAGAATTTTTGAATAGAATGCGATAGGTGCTTCTCTTCCATAGGATAATACGTGGCTGAGTATGGCATCTATGCTGAATGGTGATGCATCGCATGTTCATGTTATTGGAAGGGTCTCACTGTATTGTATTAGCACACAGTCTGATGTAAGTAAGTTTTTTATTTCCTGGAATGCTGTTTCTTCTTCTCACCCCCAGGTCCAGGTAGCTTTCTTATCAAGCAACCTGTGTAGTGGTTCCACTATTGTTGCTTTCTGTGGTAAGAATACATTGTAAAAATTAAAAAGTCCCAAGAAGGCTTGCAAGTCTGTTTTATTTTGGGGTCTGGGAGCTTCCTTTATTGCTCTGCACCCTCAGTGGGGTGGATCCCTTCTTTGTCTATGAGATATCCCAGGAATTCGACTTTGTCGGTGGCTAATTGGCAGTTCTCTTTTTTTACTTTATGTCCCGCCTCTTTAAATTTTTTTAAGACCTCTCTTAGGCGGTCTTTCAGTTGTTCTTTGTCCTTGGCTGATATTAATACATCGTCAAAGTATGGTACCACCCCCTTTATTCCTTGCAATAGGCATTCCATTAAACTCTGGAATACCCCTGGGGCCACACTAACTCCAAATTGCAGTCTGTTGCATTTGAATGCCCCCCTGTGTGTCACAATTGTTTGTGCTTCTGCTGTTTCTGGGTCAACTGGTAATTGTTGGTAGGCTTGCGCAAGGTCCAATTTCGCAAAGATTTTACCTCCCCCTAAAGAATGTAATAGGTGCTGTACCACCGGAACTGGGTATGTGCTTTGCTGTAGCGCGTGGTTAAGGGTTGCTTTGTAGTCTCCGCAGATACGTACGGACCCATCTGGTTTAATAGGGGTAACAATTGGGGTTTCCCACCTTGCGTGGTCTATTGGTTCTAATACCCCCTGTGCGATAAGTTTATCTAATTGTTCATCAATTTTTGTTTCAACGTGAAAGGAACTCGCCTCGCCTTTAGTCTTATAAGGGCTATATTTGGATTTAAATTAAATAAGATAGGGGACCCTTGGTACTTGCCCAGTTCTCCGTTGAAGATGTCCTAGAATTCTTTCATCAGGTTCTCTTCCCAGTCTATCTCAGTAATGCTGTTTATTCCGGTTACTCCGATTCCTAATGGTGCAAACCATTCAAGTCCCAGTAGGCTGGGTCGATCCCGGTCGACTATTGTTAATGGAAGGACTTTAGTGTGTTTTTTGAATTCAACTTTGAAATGTCCAGTACCTACTATAGGAATTCTGTTTCCCTGGTAGTCCTTTAGTGTGAGTTTCTGTATTTCGAGCTCTCCCTTGTTTATATCAGGTATTAGTCTTTTTAGGGTATTCCACGATACCATTGATAAATATGAGCCTGAGTCCACCTCCATCTCGCATGGCTGGCCTTCTATGGTGACTTGCACATATACCTTTTTTGCACTGATTGAGTTTGAGTGCCCAATGGTTATTGTCTGATGTGTTTCCTCTTTTCTGTTTGCTTCTTTCCATCGCTTGTTTCTGTTTTCTTGACTCCAATGGCTTCCTATTTGCTTTTCCCTCCCTGGGGGCGGGGTATTCCATCTTTGTTTAGGGCCATAGTTATTTCTAGTTCGGCATGTCCTCGCTATGTGTCCCCACCATTCACAATACCTGCAAATAGCATAGAAGAAATGGCATTCAGAACGTGGATGGTTTCCTCTGCACCTAGCACAATGGAATTCTGACTTTCTTTCATTTCGCTCCTGTCTACCTTTTTCTGACCGGAGTTGAGTTACATCTTCTTCTTCCTCTTTGTCTTCTGATAGGGATTCAATGTCCTCATGGTGTGTTATGGTGGTGTTTTTTTTTGTTTTGTCTGGTGTCTTATTGCGTGTTTGATTAGTGTCTTCTTGGGTTTCTTTTGGTAATTTATTCATTTGTCGCATGGTGGCTGCCGATTTCTGTGTGGCTTCCGCTGCGGTGGCTTCTGCTATTGCCTCCTTCAATGTTATCTTAGGTCTTGTTAGTAGTCGACCCTGTAGTGTAAGGTCCTTTAATCCGAGGACCATGTGGTCCCTCATGGCCTCATCCATGTTTAGAAATTCGCATGCTCCGCCACTGTCTCTTAGTGCTGCAACAAAATCTCTGATGCTCTCCTCTTCGTTTTGGTCGCGCTGATAAAATTCATGTCTTTTGATGAGGCATGAAATGGTTGGTGCATAGTGGGCTCACAGTAATTTCTCTAGGTCCGTCCACGCCATCGTCTTTACATCATTGGGTGCTGCCAATGCCTTTGCCATTTTGAATATTGTGGGACCACAGTTGGTGAGGAAGACGGCTCTCTTCCTATTTTCAGATACTCCTCGGAGATCGTTCCCTTCTAGAAACATGAGGAATCGGTCGATGTAGGATTCCCAGTCTTTGGTTGTTGGGTTGAATGGTGCAGGTGGCGAGTTGTTTCTGGCCATTTTGTCTCGCTCGGTCCTCGTTGCCATGTGCACAACTGGGCTCCTTTGTCTCAAGATCCCACCTTCATCACCAGTGTTGCATTGTGGGAAAAGAGACTCAAGACCCAGTTGACTTTTTCTTTTAGTTTCTTTCTAGTAATCACATGTGGAGAAACTGCAGCAGCCTTTTTTATAGCTGGATGCTTGCGGCTCGTGGCCAATGACGGCTCTTCAAATCTCCCACCACTACGGACCAACCTATCATAGGTAAGTATGCAAATATATAACAGCTCTCATCAGAGAAATAATTATACTCTCACTTACCTTAAGTGGACCATCTCCAGAGCCCATTTCAATACCCATCTTCAGCAATCTGGGAGAGCGAATAAAATATGAAAATACCATCACCCCAGAGGAAAAGGCCCTTAGAGCAACAACAACAATATGCAGGTAATCTTCATTTCGCAACTGCAATGGGGACCAGCAAATTGGTCATTAAGCAAAGCAGTTGTTAAGTAAAAATCATGGAACTGAGAGCGAGTGTAAGATTTTACACAATACTACACATACTAACTGACTATAATTGGTGAACACGCGACTGAGAGAGAGGCGTGTTGCAAAATTCATGCATGTGAGGATTACTTACTTTTTCAGCACTGCCATAACTGTAAATGGTCACTGTCTGAAGCAGTTGCTAAACAGACTACCTCTATTTTATTCACATTCTTGGGTACTCCAGCCTCTATTTTAACAAATCCCAAGCCAAAAAGGTGAGTTTTAAATGAAGTGTATCTTAGCAGACAAAAATTCTGAAATTACTTATTTAATTACCAATATTGGGTTTTTTTTAGCAATTAGGATACATCACATCAGCATTAATAGTCTAGGATGACCTGACTAGTGGTAAAGATTATTTTATGATTTTCTTTTTCTTTGTTAAATTTGTTTGGTCTGATATGTGATCCCTGACCATCCAAAAATTCTGCTGTTGTTCTCATTAATGAATACCAGACATATCTGTTCATTATGATTTGGTTGTAGGAGAAGAACAAATAATCTCTAAGGCCACCTGCCCTTTATCCAGAGATTCTGAGAGTTGAAGCCTTGCCCATCTGAAGGATCAGGGTGGAGAATAAGTGGTTACACAGTTTCTAAATGCATTTATGTTCTATGAGAGAGTCCTAGTGTCAGTCAGAAGTTTTGTCGGTCAGAAGTTGCACAGGGGGAACTTGTGTCATTCTTGAGCCAGCATGTTAAGCAAGAATGAACTTCCCAGCGATAACACGTTGTCGTGACACTTTGCAAGCCCAACCTGGCCTTTACAACAGGTATCATTGAGTGCTATCACTTCTGGAACCCTCTTCCAAGAATCCAGATCTGACCTTGCTCCTCCTCCATTCTTTTGTTGCCTAAAAGCCTCATTTAAGGCCAGTGCAAAGTAATCTGGTAGCTTTATGACTCTTTACCCAACATCAGCTCTGCTTTTATTTATTAGATAGGAACTATCTCTTATCTCAGCCTCTAAAGAACTGGTGGTAATGTTAAAGCAAACAACTGAAATATCCACCCTTTGATTTGAAAAACCAACCCACGCTCCCCTCAAAAACAAAAAAACAACAAGACTTCTACCAAGCCTGCACGATAGGCTGTCACTGAACACTGCAATCTCGCCTAGCATTGTATTCAACCCACAGTCATGGGTTACACTTGGATCAAAGAAGATGCCTCTGTTCACAAAGCATATATCTCCCATTTGGAAATGTGTACACAGACCTGTTCTATCGTGGGCAGATCCCAGCTGTGAACCCTTTCCCCCACCTTTTAATGTCTAGCCTTCTGAGAAGGCCATAAAATGCAGCCTTCAGGATTTATCAAGTCTGATGCAAGGTTGATGAAGACAGTAAAGAAAGCAGCCAAAATGCCTGACAAGGAGGTCAAAGCAAGGTAAAAGAATGGCTAAGAACACCATAACTGCCAATTGTTGACTACAGATTGGAATCAATCAAGAAAAAAAAAAGAATAGAAGAAAAAAGAATTTCCAAGTATTTTATGAGAAAATAGTGTTTCCCTTCAGGGACTCTTGTTTCTTCAAAGTTTACACATTTAAATAAATAAACAAGGATTTATCCCAACGTCTTGTGAAAACTTCATAAAGTAAGAGCTCCTAAAGTGGATTTAGCTTTTTCTTTTGCTATGGATTGCCTCAACATAATCTACTCTACCATTTGAGTTCTTAGGAGATCGAGTATTTTCCTATTTAGGCATACAATCCTATAAATATCCAAGTGGCAACTTATTGGCTACTATGGAATAGAATGTTGGACTATATGAGTTTTCGGTCTGATCCAATAGAACTCTTTTTATGCTCTCAGTTCTACACTTTTAACATGGAGACTTTTTTTAAGTTTATGTGAGTAAGGCTAATTATTGCTTCAACCACTGCCACTAAGCACCACTGAACTCTGAAAATCTCTGCTCTTCCTTGCACAGTCATCTGTCTTGGACAGATAAAGGATGTGAACATGAAGTTGTAGGAGCAACAGTCTCTTCTCGTCCTGGACTCTCTACAGAATCACATATGTCCAAATAGGTTGGACAAACGGGAACAGCAATGAAGAAATCTGTATTCCATGTGCTAACAATTGATGGTGGTGATCTTTAAGATGGGCTTGATTTATTTTATTTTTTAATTTTTTAATTTTGTCAAGCGATTATAAGATAACAGGTATAAGTATAAACATAGTTATGAATACATGAAATGGATACATATAAGAAAAAAAAGAAAGAAACAATAGGACAGGGACTGTAGGCACATTGGTGCACTGATGCACACCCCCTATAGTTATATTTGTATAACCCTTCAAGCAAATTGCTTTCAAACAGAGGAATGTCCCAAATGTAACTATTCCAAGACCAGATGCTAGCATCAGGATTAGAATTTGAATTCTAACTGCTAGTAAGACAAATGGGAAAAGTAGTATTGTGTTTCTCCCAGCCGTCTAACTTGCTTCTTTTAGGAAAAATAAAATACTGGAATTCATAGGTTTTCATCTGGTGCTCTTATGTTCTTAGGAATAGTGCAGTATTGTTAGGAAGGAAGTGGTCGTAAGACAGAGATCAAAGGAGATTATAGTTGTGAAGTTTAGACCCTGATTCAAAAATAATTGTAGCTGTTTTGTCACTAAAGAATTATAATGATCCTTTGCCCTTAATAAAGACTCTGATCAGTAACTTTTAGAAGTGAATTGATTGTGTTTTAGTTAGAATTAATGCAAACAGATATTTACATTTTTATTATAAATAGAAATTTCTATACTGAGTAGGTACACAATTTGCTTTTTAATCAGAACACTTGCTGCTTTATCAACCATGAGGACTGACCAACCACAACAAACAAAAGAGATGGATAATGAAAACAATCCCTTTATAATTTATCTCAGATCTCTTAATCCACCTAATCTGTGACAAAAGTCAAGAGCCATTTTAATTGAAACTAAGGGTAAGGCCTATTTTTTTAACTAAAGAAACTAGAACCAAAATCATCTTTAAAATCATAACTCCTCAGTAACATGAAAAAGTTATTTTTTCTGCTACCTCAAAGGATATGAGACAGAGAAGAATATACCAGGATTAGGCAAAAGACAGGATCTGAATCCTTCAGCATGGAATTCTGACTCCTAACTCATGACAGGGTTTCCCAATCTGGATATCCCCCCAAATATTAGGAACTTCAACGTTCATAATTCTTTCATCGGCATGGTCTCTGGGTGCCAGCAGATTGAAATATACTGATTATCTCTCTATCTCCATCTCTGTCTCTCTATCATCTCCATCTCTATGATGGAATGCATTTCCTGGCCATTTGTTCAGTAGTAGGAACACCACCAGCAGCAAAATATAACTCTCTTAATTTCCTATGAAATGGGAGGGGGATGAAAGTTGTAAGGTTTCAGGAGCCACAAGTAGTGGGGTGCCTGTCAGGAATATGTTGACATCAGAAGAAGAAATGGTGCAAGGATTCTGCTCCTACATTTTGGCATTTTTCAAATAAACGCATATAGTAAGCCCATCGAAGACAAAATATCCCCCAAGTTGCAGAATTCTGATGGTTGCCAATAAATATCCTTTATGTGATTCTATTTTGGGGCAGCTGCTTATGTCCTGAGGGTTGCTTACCCCATCTCCTTAATGTTGTTGCTGAAAACTAGATTCCTGGAGACCATATGGCCCTCGGGATCCTTTTGAACTTCATTTTCCATCAGTACGGTCAATGATTATGGCTGATGAGAATTAGAGTCTAGCCTTCTTGCAGAGAGCTGTCCATTCCCTACCCTGGGAAAAGACTTCTAGAGAATACAATGAATTCAAACACTTCTTTAGATGTTAAGGTAGTATCAATGGCACACTAAATGCTTTTCTTTTGTTTGGCCAGACACCCATGACATCTTCTGGACAGAGATAAATTGGTCACACAGACATAGATTTTCTTTTCTTTATGTATTTGATACCTATAGCCAGCCATCTCAACAAATCTTGACGGTTGTACATCAGAGAAGTACAACATCTGACCAAGCAACAACATGCTCTGTGCATGGAATTAATTAACTTAAATGAATTCAAAATGCTTTGGCTTGAGATGTTGCGCTGTTTTTTTTTGACTTTTGGTGCTTAGATGGCTTATTTAATTTGTTACACTAATTCTCTTGTTGAAAGTTTCTGCACTGTTGTTAAGATTCATTTATAATTCACTTTAAGCATGTATTGAATGAAAAGGTCTATAATAAGTAGAAGTTCAAAGCCCATTACAGAATATTACCTTAATTAAGACCAGCCCAAAAACACTAAGCAAAATTTCAGTTTCCAAAGTGCTTCATTAGACTGCAATGTGGATTTTTTTAAAAATTAGCAAGCCGGGAAGCTGGATAATTTTGAAAATAAAACTTCAGTATGTAACTGTCAGAAATGGTGTTGGAAATGATGACTTCGCTAGTGTTTTATATATAGTAGTCAGAGGTCCTAGGTGCTCTCTGAGCTTAGTTATTTTTTTTTGCAGATGTTTCATTACCCAAGCTAGATAGCATCATCAGTCCCAAACACCTACTTTAGGTAATGAAACGCCTGCAAAAAAATAACCAAGTTCTGAGAGCACCAAGGACCCATCACTTCAACCCTGGGCTACAAATATTCTCCTTTGATATATAGTAGTTTCCAATTTCATTTAGCAAAGATAGAGGTGAGGCCTAATGGTGAGGCCTCAGGTGAGCGAGGTCTAATGGAACTCTTCCAACATGGTTGAACATATAAAATCTAATAATTATTATATCTTGTCTTCAGCTATAAGCAATGCATGAAGGTTTCCTGATCTATAGAGGATCGATATAAATTGAAATGTGGAGTTGTTATATTAGTAACATTCCAGATGAATTTTATTGATCCACCAGTGAAAAAGGGTACTGATACCAAACTGTAATATTTTCTAGGGGTTTAAGGCTCCTTGTCCTGCAGAATGCAAGTGTCTTTTTAGGAAATCAAAAATAATTTACCTCCAAATTAGTTTTTTTCCCTCTCCAGAAAGCTAAACCTGGAATTCTTGAAGAGCTAACCAAAACCAAAGCCTTGCAGGTTAGTAAGGAACATTCCAAACCCCCTACTTGGGCAATATGTTTTATAAGAACCACATAAAATGTAACAAAAATGTTAAATGAACTCTAGAGTTCATCACTTTGTGTGTAAGATTGCTGCTAGAACACATGGGACTTATCTGAAGAGACTAACATTACTTTCATACTATGAGACAGCTAGCTGAGTTATTCTTTTACAATAAAAGAACAAAGAGACAGGATACTTCAAGGATGGACCCATTTGTATATTGCCATGAGTGTTCTAAGATGATAGTCCTCTTGACCAAACATATGGGGCACATTTCTGAGGGGAGAATATCTTAAAGGATGGTGTCAGATTTAGCACCATGTGTCACAGACTGGTTCAAAACCAGCTATTTGCCCTTTTATTGCATATGTTAATCAGCTATCCAATAAAAGAATGTCTGTGTCACACCTAACTGACCATTTCTGTATCAATTCTGTCTCTCACCTTTCTTTCTTCTCATCTAGTCCCAAGAAAATGTTGTGTACTTACATTCTACTCCTCTCTCAGAAATGTGATCCGTAAGTATGATCAAGTAGCTAATAATTTGTATCTTTAAGTTACCTGTTATTTTTGTGCCAGACACATGATTTGGCCTGTTGAATTTCAAGATAAAGGAAGGCATCTCTTCAGAATCCCATCAGGTATCAAACTGTGCTGAATCAATTATCACCTTTTCTCTCCGCACTAACATGCCATCTCACCCCTTGCCTTTGAAAAAGAGTTTTGAGCGTGTTTATCTCAGGTTTGACCTAACTCCATGTGGTAACTCTTATATGCCAAGTAGCAATTTCAGGAGGTGATGATATGGAAACCAGCCAGTTGCCCCCGAACTTGCAGAAAGTAGCGATCAACAGTGGAGATGAAAGCTTGCCATTTGTCCTTGGGAAAGGAAGGAAGGGAAATCAACATTTTATCACCTGTCTGCCTCCCCCCCCTGCCCATTTCACTTCGCCATAAGAAGAAAACCCCTATCCTTCTAGGATAGAGAAATTCTCTCGTCATGGAAAAAGGATCAGGTTCTGAACGTTCAAATATCAACAGAGAAGCTATACATGCATCGTAGACACTTGTCTCTTGAATTCTGCTTAAGTAAAATCGAAGATGTATGGTAGGAACACAGAGAAAGTAGATCAGGTTCCATTGGAGATTTTCCAATAACTTCCAGGAGGTCGACAAGGCAATTAGACTGCAAAAACCAAGAAAGCTTAGAGAGAATTGGAATACATTTCTGTGTGAAAAGATTTGCATGCAAGTCCTGGTTCCGTTCTCTAGTTCTGGAGATTTATGAGCGAGCTCCAAATTTCACTATTAAGAACAAATCACTTCAGATTTATGACACAGCTCACAACGGACTAGCCTCTGCCAATAAGAAAATATAGCAGAAGCTGAACCCGATATTCCAGTGTTGATCTCACAAGGCTTTAGCCACATGTAAATACTAAGGTCTTCCTCCCCCCAAAAATGCAATGGAAAACATAAGACCAGGAAATATGGGCAGGGAGTGAGAGTCAGGGAGGGAAAACTTTTTCAGAATTTTTGCTTTAAGAAATTTAGCCCAGTATGTGTGTCATTAAGCAGTATGTAAGTGTTCCCAATCTCAGCAACTTTAAGAAGTGTGGACTTCAACTCCCAGAATTTTCTATCCAGCACATTGATGAGGGAATTCTGGTAGTTGAAGTCCACATTTCTTAAAATTATTGAGGTTGAGAAATACTGTTACATGTTGATAGTGTTCTATCCTGAAATCCTTTTTATTTCTTCCCTCACCTGCCCCGCTCCTTCCAGGTTTCTCTATCCAGAAATTAGCAAAGGAATGCAGAGTTAAATGCCTGCTTTTTAGACCTTATTTAGGAATAAGTGGTTGGGTTTATTTATTTTTCAGAAGTGTTTTCTTAGCCATTATTTACCTTGCTACAAAGGGAGAGATAATTTCTGAATGAATTCTAAACTCAAGAATTATTAGGAAAGACAGCCTAGCGGTTTCATTTGTGAGTCATTCAGGAAGTGAGTAACAGTGACTAAAATCACCTCCTCCAAGCCAGGCCAGACTTTTGCAAGCAGGGTTTATATCTTTTTTTCATCTGCTTTTGTGTTTTCTACTAAAACTTTCTTTTGCTGATTGCTGTTGTTTGTTTTTTGAATAAAGGGTACCTGCAAGGAGGATGCTTTATTTGAAATTAAAACTAATTAAAAGTTAGTCTCTACTATGGCATATTTCAAAGGAAAACAGAGCAAAACTCCATGTTGGCACTTTGAAACAAAGGAGAGAGAGGATGCCACTGAAATTTTCCATAGTGCCCCTAGCACTTTCTGAAGGGCCAAGCGAGGGAAATAGAATAGAATAGAATAGAATAGAATAGAATAGAATAGAATAGAATAGAATAGAATAGAATAGAATTTTTTATTGGCCAAGTGTGATTGGACACACAAGGAATTTGTCTTGGTGCAAATGCTCTCAGTGTACATAAAAGAAAAGATACATTCGTCAAGAGTCAAGAATCATATGGTACAACACTTAATAATAGTCATAGGGTACAATAAGCAATCAAATCATAATTGGAAACAGTCAATATAAATTGTAAGGATACAAGCTACAAGTTACAGTCATGCAGTCACAAGTGAGAGGGGATGGGTGATAAGATCAATAGTAATAGTAGTGCAGACTTTGTAAATAGCTGGACAGTGTTGAGGGAATTATTTGTTTAGCAGAGTGATGGCTTTCAGGAAAAAACTGTCCTTGTGTCTAGTTGTTCTGTGTGCAGTGCTCTATAGAGTCGTTTTGAGGGAAGGAGTTGAAACAGTTTAGGTCCAGGATGTGAGGGGTCTGTAAATATTTTCACAGCCCTCTTTTTGACTTGTGCAGTATACAGGTTCTTGATGGAAGGCAGGTTGGTAGTAATTGTTTTTTCTAATGGGTCTTCCTAATCACACTGAATAGAGTAATGCTGCTGACTCCAATCTACGATAATACAAAAGGCAGATTGCTCAATTCCATTTTGTTCCTTTGTTTCTAGGTCTAGGAATGAGAGATGAGAAAGACAGTACAACCTATTTGAAGATCATCTTTTTACAACATGGCATCTCTTTTCTGTGCACAATGATCCTTGCTTCAGCTTGTTTTGCATAGATTTTAATCCCAATAATACGAAGTAAAGATTTAAATGGTAATACATTGATATGATTTAGTTTAATCTGAATATGATTTAATGAAATGTTTATTTGAATATTTAATCAATATTCAATACTTGTGGATTATTATTTTTTTCAGTTGAGAGGATTAGAACTTAAGTTGATCCTGAAGAACTGTTAGTATTTCTGGCTATGCTGGCTTCCTCTGTTGCCTTACTTCCTCTGTTGTCTTGCTTTTCTTATGGATAGTAGAATGGAGATACCTGATTCTTATGTACATGGGTCTTTCCTTCCAAGAAGGCTATCCTTTTATTATTTCAGCTTCTATTCATCAGCATATGGATGAGTCTTCTGGTCAAGGCACAGTAGTTCTTCCTTTGATTTTCTAGGTACCACCATCAGAGTTCACCCCTTTTGGTTTCTAACAAGCAAGAGCCTTTTAGAGGAAAGCTAAGGTCTAGACTCAGGATCTTCCCCAGGGAAAGCAATTATTTTGCCACTGTTTTCTAGCACCCACACAGTCCTGAAAGTAGTCCTGCCAATTACCCAGAAGCTTTTTAGGCTGGGGAAACTTTTATTCAAGTTGGTCTTTTATTTGGTGGAGAGTTGAAATCTTCTTTGCTGTCAGTCATTCCTGCTCTCATTGCCCAGAATCAGGGTTTCTTTTCAAAATTGGATGCGGCCTTAATTGGGGTCTGCAACTTACAGCAGCCATAATGAAGCAAACAAAAGGCACCCTTGAAACAATGCAAAGGACCAAAGAGGCAAAGCAAACTACACAAAAACCCACTACTGGGGTCACCTGTTTCTTCATCTAACCAAATTCAGTTCAGGAATGCTGAGTTGCCATATGGTTCCCCTCTAAATAGTAACTTGTTATGCAACCCGGGTAGACTTTAAACACTGAACATGGCTCTGTTTGCAGGATGTGCTGACAGAAGAGTGAGCAACGATTAATCAGCTGGGAGATTTTCCTACATACCAGCCTTAGCTAGAATGTTATTTACAAAGTGAGGAAGAGGTATGACAGAGAGGGGAGTGCATTTCTCCTGCACTTCTTCCCCATGTAAGGATGTGAAGCTGAGGTTACTCAGCAGGATATGGGAG